CAATATAAGTCATAGAAGAGATATAGGGTTTATATAGGGATGTTTAGGGTTCGGATTCCTTGTGCCAATCCAAAGCCTCTAGCACTAAACCCTAAACCCACCACCGTTTTGTTGTTAGGGCTCTGGTTGTTTGATAGTATGTTTAGGGTTCAGCGGTGGCAGAGGCTCTCTTGAAATTTGGGGTTCTGGGTTTCTGCGGATAGGGTTTAGAGGGATTGGGCTTAGGACTCAGGGGCCAGGACAATCTTAGGATTCAGGACATACCCTAAACCTTAAACCCTTATATAAACCCTAAACCCCTATATAAACCCTATAGACTCCAAGCAGTGCTTGGAGGATGGGGTTTAGGATTTGGCATTCTGAGCACAGGTCTGACGAGTTGATTCGTTGATTAACGTTGGGTTCACTGATGTGTGGGGTTTATGTTTTAGGGGTTGGGGGTTCACGGTTCAGGCAAGGCTTCCATGATATGGGAGTGCTATGCCTGGGGAAAGAATAAGAATTGAGTTTTCGGGGTATGTTCTGTCGCATAAGGGCTTATTCAGATCCGGGTTCTGGGACCCTAAACCCTAAACCCTAAAACCCTAAACCCTAAACCCTAAACCCTAAACCCTAAACCCTAAAACCCTAAACCCTAAACACCTTCGCAAGAAGCCGATGCTTTTCCTGTCATCCACGGACGTGGTCCCGTGCAGTGCGAGATTGGCCTGGTCTACAGTAAAGACTTTGGGTTTAGGGTTTAGGGTTTAGGGCTTAGGGTTTAGGGTTTAGGGGGGCCGGTCACTCATTCAACAAAGCATGGGCCTCGTTTGTTGACTTATCCACTGGGTTTGACGCGATCAACGCTGACTATGTCATTGTGGCTGACAAGAACTGCTCATTCGTCAAAAGCGAACGAGTACAGAAGTGGATCAAACACCACAAGCTCGAGTCTGAGAAGTTCGACGCATGTGGAGTCAAGTCTTTTTTATTACATGCCCAGGTGACTATACAATAGGTTCGGATGTGTTGTTTGTGAGAACTTTGCAGATCCATTTGGCCCACCTGTTACTTCACCTACCCTGCACCTTCCGTCATCGAAGCCAAATCTCTGCAGAGGCCCTTCCAAGTCAGGGTTTAGGATTTCCAAAGAAGAACACTACCGCTCACTGTGAACTGAATGGGTCTTAAGTTTGAGGGGGTCTGGCATGGTCTTGCAGGGTTCTTACATGATCATACAAAAAACCTGAACACCCAATAACTGGATTCAGGTTTTGATGTGGAGTATACTACGTGTATGCAGGGACTGTAATCGCATGCTGCCACCAACTACTCCGACGTCTTTTGTGGATTTTTTTTTATTCGCTAGGCAAGACCCTGTAAGACACAAACCTAAGGCTAGAAGCATGGGCCCCTAAAATGGACCCTTAGGCCTTTCCAGGGACCCTTAAGGGTACATATAGGGTATATCGTAGGTATATAAGGATCCCACCCTTAAGGGCCCATACTAGGGGCCCATGGTTTCAAACTTAGATAATAGATCCCTAAACCCTAAACCCTAAACCGAAAGAAACACAAATGCAATAGAAAAAACGGTCCGAGGCTGGCTTTCTCGCGGGCCTTCTTTGGGATTCCTGCGCTTGGTGTCGCTGCAAAAGACCCCGCTACAAGTGGGGGGTTTAGGGTTTAGGGTTTAGGGTTTAGGGTTCAGGGTTCAGGGTTTAGGGTTCAGGGTTTAGGATTTAGGGTTTAGGTTTAGGGTTTAAAAGGGTTTAGGGTTTAGGGTTTGAAACCCTAAACCGTACCTTTCATTCTACCCTCAAAGGACTCATATCTTAGGGCTTTGGGGTTAAAGACCCAATTACATGAGGCTAATGGGCTATTTGGATGCTAAGGGATAACCTTGGTAGGTAGATCCCTTACCTCTGTTAAGGGTTGAGAGTTCGGGCTTCAGGTGTTGGGGATTAGGTCTCGCGAGATTAGGTCACAGGTCTGTTCTGGGTACTTCCAACTGACACCAATCTGAAACCCGTGATAAAGGGCCTTAATAATTAGAATAGGTTTTGGGCCCAGTATGCTATAACTATGTCATAAGGACCGCCCCCCAAAAAATATATTGGAAAGTGTTTAAGCCTCTACATTAAACCCTAAGCCCTGACTTAAACCCTAAACCCTAAACGCCAACGTTCCAAGGTCCGAACCATGAACTTGGTCATCTCTAACAAGACCTACGAAGCAGACTGTGGGTAGAACCACTTCTGCCAAAAAGAATCCCTATACCTTCCTATGGCCCTAAACCGTAAAAAACGCTCGCCAACCCTAAACCCTAAATCCTAAACCTAAACCTTAAACCTGTAGCCCTAACCCTAAACCCTAAACCCTAAACCCTGAACCCTGAACCCTGAACCGTAAACCCTAAACTTAAACCCAAAAGCCTCGCCCCAAACCCGACACCTGGAAAGGAAGCTCTGGTCTCGGGTTTAGGCATTCGTGGGGTTGCGGGGCATAGGGCCGCCTTCAGGGTCCTGAAACGGAAGTCTAGGTTTCAGGTTTCGGGGTTTAGGGGTTTAGGTTTTGGGGGTTTGGGGTCTAGGGTTAGGGTTTAGGGTTTAGAGGTTTATGGGTGTAGGGTTTAGGGGTTTACGGTCTAGGGTTTAGGCTTTAGAGGTTTAAGGGTTTAGGGTTTAGGTGTTTAGGGGTTAGGGTTTAGAGGATTATAGGGTTCAGGGGTTTAGGGGTTTAGGGGTTCCTCTTTGGGGTCTAGGGTCGAAGGTCTAGGTTGGGGCCTGAGGGGACGTAGGGTTTAGGAGTTTAGGGTCTATACCTTAAGAACCCAAAACCCACTTTTTTGTAGGTTCTTATTATAAACCCGAATATGGGATTTATAGGGACCCTACAAAAAAGTAGGTTTTGGGTTCTTCAGGTAGGGGATGAACTGAGGGTTCCATTCTTCAGGTAAGAGGAGATTTCGGCCAAAGCCACTCAGAGTGGGAGGTTTGGGGCCTATAAACTCTACTAAAGCCCGACTTTGTAGTTTCATTACTTGGGTCCTCTGAGGTTTAGGGTTTAGGGTTTAGGGTTTAGGCTCTGAATTTCTATCCCAATCAGCGCAGGACCGAGCTTCGCGAGAAGGCACTGCAGGCGCGCTGCCCCGATCGCGAGCTCTATGATCTCGAAGGTTCAGGGCTTTAGCGCTTGCTGTACCAAGACCCCCCAATGGTCCCCTAATAGAGCACTTATGGTCCTTGATAGTGGGTTTTTGGGGGGATAATAGAGGGTAGTTGGGGGGTCTAGGTATGGCCTGAGGTTTGAGGTGCGCTGGGTAAAGCGGTTTAGGGTGCACAGTATTAGGTTTCAGGTCAGGCTGAGGTGTGGTGTGCAGGGGCTTGAGGTTAAGGACAATGGCTTAAGGGTGTAGCGGGAGCAGATTAAGAATTCAGAGGATTTTTAAGGTGCAGAGCTGAAAGATTTGAACATGCAGATGTATTTTCGAATTTCAGAATTACGGGATGCTCAAATGTCCCGATGTCTTCAACGTATATGCCGCAGAACCTAGTCGTTGAGAGGTTCCTCGTCTGAACTCGCGTGGCGCAGATTTGGGAGCGTGGCATGGAGGCTGAACACAGGGAGCACGCTTCGCACTTCTGAGTTGCTTGCCACATCGCCAGGACATGAAGGCTGTGATTGATGAGATGCGGGCACAGGTTGTTTCCACACGACCGCATGTTCATCGAGTCATGACCGATACCATACATGGTTACCCCAACATGTTCTACGAGACGGTGCGCATGGCAGACAAAAACTACCACGGCTTGTCCGTCTGGTGCTTAGTAGGGAATGGGGGAATGGATCCCTATGATAGTCCCTTAAGGTCCCTTATAGTAGTCCCTAGAACCCATTCCCCCATTCCCTACTAAGCACCAGATAGCCTTGGCGGCGCCACTTTCTCAGGTCAACCGTACTGTCGGCCTGCCGGCTCGAGCATGGAACCGACTTGTTAAGTTCCCCTGGGCCTCCAAGTATACTTGGAGGCCCAGGGGACTTAGTAAGTCGGTTATAAGTAGGGTTATAATTGGGATAAGTCCATTTAGGGTACTTATAACTCTACTTATAACCTACTTACTAAGTCCCCTGGGCCTCCAAGTAGAGGTACTTAGGACCCTTTGGGTTGAACATTTGGGGTACGTACGGAGGCTTCCTGCTGAGGGCTGCCTTTTTCCATTTGGCAAAGGGGTTTAGGATCAATTTGCTGACAGCAAAATAGGTGCTGTAGAGTGACACTGTATGCCCCCAAACCCGAGTCGAACTGCTCCGGCATGTTACGGCCCTGTAATATGAACCCTACGAACCCTAGTCAGCACAATTGAAACCTTTTTGTAAGTTAGGGTTTAGGGTTTAGGGTTTAGGGGTTTAGGGTTTAGGATTTAGGGTTTAGTAAGTATAACAGACATTCTTGAAGCCTACACCCTAAACCCAAAGAAGCCTAAACATCCTTCAACCCTTGAGCTGCTACAAGCCCTGGAAGAAGCGTTATGCTAGCTAAGAACCTTGCAAGGAACAGCCTAGGATAAGAATCCGTCAAATGCAAAATATTCGGTTTAGGGTAATTGTACATAAGCCCCCCCTTCAAAATAAAAAAACAACTCTGGTTAAAGTTTGGTAAAGTTACGGTTTAGGGTTACCAGACCTACAAGCCCATTATTAACCCCAAAGTAACGCATAAAATCACAGAGCTTCAGCAGCACATGATTGGAATGAGGGCCCTTATACTCATTTGGGGTGTATCCCCCCTGCAAATCGGTACCCCTTTAGATCCCTTAGAGGCAACCTTTAAAGGGACCCTTATCGATACCTTGAAGGAAACTCTAAACCCTAAACCCTGACCCCTAAACCCCTAAGCCCTGAACCCTAAACCCTAAACCCCTAAACCCTAAACCCCTGAACCCAAACCCCTAAACCCTAAACCCTACAAACCCTTAAAGGAACCCCTACGGACCCTTTGGGTTTCGACCCGGCGCCAGGCAGTCACGGAGGCCTTGGCCACGTCCCTGCCGTTCAGCGCTTCCAGCGTCTACATCGACTATGTTGCGCTCTCCTTAGGCGCAGGGGCTCTAGGGTCGAGGGTTTAGGGTTTAAGCTTTAGGGTTGAGGGTTTAGGGTTGAGGTTTTGCTAGGTGCAATAGAATCGTTTAAATGCAGCGTTCGACAACACTGGCTGTCGGCATAGCGAAATCTTTGCCAGGCATTCCTAATTAAACCCGACGCTGCCCCATAACCCTAAACCCTAACGCCCTCAACACTATCCTGACCCTCTTCCGTTGGCAAGTAGGGAGTGCCTCCCATTCGGGAGTGGCCCCCACTACAATGCAGCAGGGCCCTCAGAGAAAGACGGGCCCCACATGAAGGCTCGGGGTGTTTAGCACTTTAGGCGGTCAGGGTTTAGAGTTTCGGGTGTAGGGTTCAGAATGATAGCTTATGTCTAAGGGATCATAAGTTGCAGGTAGGCCTTAGGATCATCATGTTGTTTTGCGGTTTACGGGTTGGAGGTAGGGTTAGCTTTGCAAATTAGGACAGCCTTTACTTCGCTCATGATCATCTATGTTAAGGTCGAATGTTAACATCGGTGAATGCTATAGCTGCTATATACTGTTCCTAGAGGGTCGTACCCTACCCCCTTTCTAAGGTACCTAATTTCATGGTTCGGATCTATTATGTAAGACAGTAGGTACCTTCAAAACGGGTAGGGTATCAGCCTACAGGTTTGATCATTATGGCATCTTCAGCAGCAAGGAATCCAAAAAGCTCCGGAGCCCGTTAAAACCCACCGAAAACGTTTTGAAAAGGGGCTTAGATTGAGGGTTCAGGTCTTCCCTACAATTTTCTTCAATAGAGCTAAACCCTAAACCCTAAAAGAGGTTTACTGTTGGCTGTAGGATCTAAGCCCCCCGGAAGCCCTTATTGAACCCTATAGGGTTTAGGGTTTAGGGTTTAGGGTTTAGGGTTTAGGGTTTAGGGTTTAGGGGTTTAGGGTTTAGGGTTTAGAGGGAACCCTTAAAACTGCAAAATCGCGGAGGCTTCCTCGTGGGTGTGCGGCTGCGTGTGACGAAAGTGGAGGTTGTGCTGCAGCGTGAGCCTGATGAGGCCTAGGGAAAGTTATGGGGTTCCTTGAGGACCAAAAGACCCTACGCCCTAATACTATGAACCCCGGCCTGTTATTGTATATGAAACTCAAACCCTTTTAGGGTTCATTTCGCTTAAGTTTTGGGTCCTACCTATGGTCTCCATTGTAGTTCCTTTCTTGGTTGACCAAATGTATAATTATTATAGGATCCTAACCATAAAGTTGGTTAACCAAAAAAGGAACTACAATGAAACCCTAAACCCTAAACCCTAAACCCATAATGGAGACTCTAGGTCGGGCTTAAGTGCTGGGTCCCTAAACCCTAAACCCTGGACAGCAGCGCTTGGCCATGCCCGTGCAAGCCGGATGCAGGTTTCAAGCTCCCTAAACCCTAAACCCTAAACCCCCTAAACCCCCTAGACCCCCTAAAACCCCTAAACCCCCTAAACCCCCTAAACCCTAAACCGTGCAGGCGGTGCCAAGGGTGCACTGCTGCAGGGTCTGGGGAGGAGCTCAGTGCCTCAGAGAAGGCCGCGCTGATATGCCACCTTGGCACATCCTCAGCTTCATGGAGAAGTTTAGGGTCTAGGGGTTTAGGATTTAGGGTTTAGGGGTTTAGGGTTTAGGGTTCAGGGTTTAGGGCTCAGCTTCATGGAGAAGCTTAGGGTTTAGGGGGTTTAGGTTTTAGGGAGGACGAGGAGCTGGATGTGCCGGCCCGGCCAATCGCCCGTCCCTTGCTGCGGAGGGACCCTTACGTCCTCGTCCTATGGTACGGTTGAAGACAGGCTCTCTTGGGCTGGAGGAAAGGGCTTGTAGGGGGTTTCAATGTTTCCGGCTTTGGGCTTAGGGCTTTTATCTTCTAGGGTTCGCCATGAGGCCTCAAGGACTCAACATGCTTCTGGTCTTAGCGTTTCACCCAGACCCTAAACCCTAAACCCTAAGCCGTAAACCCGAACCCCCCCCCTAAACCCTAAACCCTAAAACCCTAAACCCTAAACCCTAAACCCTAAACCCCTAAACCCTAAACCCTAAATCCTAAACCCTAAACCCGAAACCCCAAGACTATATGGCTTGCTTCTCGCCTGTTGGGAGCGAAGGCGCGGTAGTAGCACTTTTTGCTACACTTTAAGGTGAGGTTTAGGGTTTAGGGTTTAGGGTTTAGGGTTTCGGGTTTAGGGTTTAGGGTAGCACATTTTGCTACACTTTAATCTAAGGTTGACCCCATGGGCCCCTATCATGGGCCCTTAGGGGATTCTAGGGTCCCTTAAGGGTATATATAGGGTATATAGTAGGTATATTAGGGTCCCAGAGTTAAGGGCCCATACTAGGGGCCCATGGGTTCTGCCGTAGATTTAAGGACCAAAAGGGACCCTTAAAAGTAGGGACCCTGCCATACCCTAGCAGGGTTTAGGGTTTAGGGTTTCCATACCCTCATACTATGAACCGGTATTTGAACCTTGAGCCCTTTTAGGGTTCATTTCGTCTTTAAGGCAGTTCTGGCCTTTGGCTAGAGCTTTTCGCCTTAGGATTTATCCCAGGTCCTTCGGGCTTTTGGGGCCTCAGGTCTAAGCCCAAGAGTGTAGGGCTTCAGCGTGATTTCAGGTTTTGCTTGTGTGGGCCAACGGGGTGGTTTAGGGTTTAGGGGTTTAGGGTTCAGGGTTTAGGGTTTAGGGTTTAGGGTTTAGGGTTTAGGGGTTTAGGGTTTAGGGGTTTAGGGTTTAGGTGTAAGTGTAGGGCATTTCTGAATGGGGCCAAGATTCAGCAAGGACACACTAAGGCGAGAATGGGTGAAGCTAGTGTTACGACTAGGACTCATCGCGACAAGCATCATGATCCACTTTATGCTTTACTTCTCTTCATTACCGATCCAACGACATTTCATACACATCAGTATGATGGTACGGGTGTCGTATCACCTTTTTTTCATCAATACATCATGGTCATGCTACGCGTTAACAAAAGCCTCCTCACAATCAGCATCATTACGGTCATCGTCCTTCTGACCAGCACAAGAGTCATGTCTGCCACTAGTTTTGGTAATTCCTTAACAAATGTGGTTCTTAGTGTGTCCTCTGAATGTAATATAAGGGCCTTAATTAGTTAGAAGAGGGTTTGGGGGTATCTTATTATAAGGAACCCCCTAAACCGGAATTCTAATTATTGAGGCCCCTACATTAGACGCCGGACTAGCGCACCTTCATTTCGCGAGGTCGCCCCGTATGGAAGCCTCATTAGTGGCCTTCAAATCCCGAAAAGCCCTGCAAAGCCACCGCCCCGACTATCCCTAAGCCTTAACAGCCCTAAACCCAAAGCTTGCAAAGCCCCAAACCCTACACAGTCCCAGTCCGAAAAAGCCATACGCCCTAAACCCTAACAGCTCTAAAAAGCCCGAGGCCTTGAAAGCCCTAAAAACTCTTCAAACCCTAAACCCTGAACCTAGAAGCCCTAAACCTTACAGAGACTTAAAAGCCCTAAACCTTGACAGCCCTGAAAGCTTCAGCGGTAAACCTTCACAGCCCTAAAAGCCCTAAGCCTTAAACCTTAATGGCCCGAAAAGCTTAAACCCTAAACCCCAACAGCCTTAAAAGCCCTATAACTTAAAACCCTAAAAAGCCATGAACCCTAAACCTTAACAGCCCTCAACCCTAAACCCTAAACCTTAAAAGCGCCAACAGCCCTGACAGCCCCAAAAGCCCTAAACCCTAAACCCAAGGTCCTAAGCCCTAAATCCTAAACCCTAAACGCTAAACCCTAGGCCCTATACCCTTAACATCCCTTAACACCCAAACCCTAAACCCTAAACTTTAATCACTCTAAACCCTAAACCCTAAGCCCCATGACTGGTACGGGTGGGAGGCGAGGTGGTCCAAGGCCGAGGAGGCGCGAGACCCAAGGAAAGCTCCAAAGCACCTCAGCCCTAGCATAGGATTTGTGGTTTGAATTTAGGGTTTGGGGTTTAGGGTTTAGGGCTTGGGGCTTATATAGGATTTATGCTTTGAATTTAGGGTTTGGGGTTTAGGGTTTAGGGCTTGGGGCTTATATAGGGTTTATGGTTTAAATTTAGGGTCTGGGGTTTAGGGTTTCGGTTTTAGAGTTTAGGGTTTAGGGCTTAGGGCTTAGGGCTTATATAGGGTTTATGGTTTAGGGTTTAGGGTTGTGTGGGCTTCGGGGAATATTATATGAAAACTACAATAAGGGACCCCTAAAATAATATACTGTTGATGATAAGAATCCTGCACTCACTTGGGATGATGGTTTAGGGGTTTTGGGGTTTTGGGGTTTAGGGTTTAGGGCTGCTGGTGATATAAATACTGCATTACCATAAGGACCCTAAACTATGGGAAGTATGGTATATTCCTTATTATGGGTACTGCTGGGTTTATATCATCAACCCTAGTATAGTGTACGGTTGATGATATAAATCCTGCATTACCCTTACAGTAGTAAGGAATGGCTAGCGCTATAAGTAGGGCAACTATTGTTGTAGTCAGTTATAAACTCCAAAAATCTTATTTGGTAAGTCCCAAGAACCTCCAAGCAACCAATATAGGGGTGGGAATCATTGAAACACTGAATATCCCGATATAGTCCTTATATTGTAATTCCCCGAAGCCTCTTCGAGTCATTCCGGTTCCTACATTCTCACAGAACTGAGTAATTAACAGTCTTGTTCTCTACTATGCTTCAAGAACCCCCCAAGCCTTATTCAAACTGCTAAGGCCCCGACACTATATATCCTTATAGAATCTCTTATCGAACCTTTTAAGGGAAGCCATTCAAGGAACCTTCTTCTAACCATCAAAGGTCCCTATTTCTCCGCTGTCGTTCAGCCCGGTAGAAGTTCCAGCTTCCCACTTCATTGCCCCAAGAAAAATCCTTAAACCCTAATGCCCTAAAACCATAAAGCCCTAAACCCTCGACCCTGGACCCTGCATTCTAAAACTCTCTAGCGCGATCCTGTCCTCAATGTCGTCGGTGCAGGAAGCATCCGGGGTCCAGACGTGGTCACCCGTTGACAGGCTGATCCGTGAGGAGGAAGAGCGGCGCAAGCGATCCGATCAGGGCAAGCCGATGGATGGTCATGATGGTCCGAGACAAGGCCAACCGGAAGCAGGCGGGGTCCAGACGTGGTCACCCGTTGACAGTCTCCTGCGTGAGGAGGAAGAGCGGCGCAAGCGATCGGATGGGATCTTCAGCTGGTCGCCGATTGCTAAGGATGAGTCTCTGGACGACGATTCGGCCGCCACATGGCCTGCTCGAATCGGGGCTTGCAGAATGCCTCCAAGACGTATTGCTCGACGCTTGCCCTACCTTAAGAACCCAAAACCCATTTGTTTGTAGGTTCTTATTATAAACCCTATATGGGATTTATAGGGACCCTACAAAAAAGTAGGTTTTGGGTTCTTAAGGTTGTGATTCTTATCATGGAGCAATCGTCTCGCATACAGGGGGTATGGCTCGCGGGAAGAGGTATGGTGTCCGAGAGCGATTGTTCCCATGGGCCTGTGCTGCATCCCTGCACTTTGCATTTCCCTACACCCTACACCCAGGTCACAGGGCCCTGAAATGACATGTCTTTCGCAACTCCGAGGGCCTAAATGCCGAAAGTCCCTTAGCTTAGGGTTTTGCTGTGGCGTTTAGGGTTTCGGGTTTTAGGGTTATACAGCTGTAACTCTTAAGCCCCGAAGTCGCATTGCGCTCTAAACCCTGAGACCTAGACCTCGAAACTCTAATCCTTAAACCCTAAACCCTAAACCCTAAGCCCTGCAAAGGCCGTTCGCTCAGCGTACCGCCTTGCCGCAGCCGGTCAGGCCAGTTCGAAGCGAGGAGCACTCTGACGATGAGTTGGAGATCAGCCTTTCTAGGGGCGTCTTTAACTTAGTTTCCCAATACCCAACCTTCAAACTGGTGGGTTTCTGATACTTTAGTGGTAATCTGAAAGTTTAACCTTCTATTTCCCTGGCTTTTTTGGGGGGGAAGTAAGTTCAGGGATCTTTAATAGGGTACCATATTTGAGGGTTGGTTTGGGCTAAGGGCTTCAGAGCTAGGGATGAAAATTGGTGATGACACTTTTAGGGTTTTGGGGTGTATAGGGTTTAGGGTGACCATCATTTACTATCATACTGGGGTTCAGGGTTTAACGGTTCAGGGTTTAGGGTTACTATCAGCTATCAGTTACTATCATATACCGTTATCACCCACATGGTTATGACTCGGTTATGACTACTACAGCTGTCAGTACTATTTACTCAGATCAGAATGCGAGTAGACTTACAGGGTTGCCGTAACGGTTCCTGTGAAGGCTTCTACAAGGGCTTCTACATGGGTTGATAGTAGGCTGTAATGTAAGGGCCTTGTTGATTAGAATAGGGGTTGAAGAAGGAATTATAGGTAGTTAGGATCCATTATATAGAAAAGTAGGTACCGTAGAAAAGGTAGGGTATGACCCTATGAATATTCTAACCCCTCAAGCCTTCTAAAAGACCCGACGGGTCCACTGGTTCAGGTACCCAGATAGTAGAGACTTAGATGTCCAAAACAACCATTCAGGGCATGGTGCTGAGACCTCAAAATGTGCATTGCCGTACTTAAAGCTTCTCGATTTCAGCATAAAGCCCTAAACCCTAAACCCTAAGGGGCTTTGTGTGCTCAAGTTTGGGCGTGCCAATGGAAGTCCCGCGAGTGGGTGCTCTAACTACTGGACTTCGACCCGAAAGCGGTTTAGGGTTTAGGGTTTAGGGTATGTACTAGATAAGCACATAGAGCATTAAGAGAAGACTCTAGCGATCTTAAATCTAAAACATGACATGCGCAATATATCCATGGGCAGAGCATGGTTAGGGCGATAGTCACACCCGACCCGGCATTAGCTACCGTGGCCTATAAGGTCCTAGTATAGGATCTAAAGCGACCCTACCAAAAAATAGGCCCACCCGCCAAACCAGAAAAAATGAGACATCAGACTGGGCATTGTCTCATCCGCAGGACTCGTGGCGAATGCAAAAAGACCGTCACCGCCGACAGGCAGGATTCAGATGATAATTGCACGATAAACTTAAACGGGGACAGTACTGATCCTGCTGCTATCTTGAGCCCGAGTGCTCCCTGAGACGTGGACACGGAGCAGTACCTGTTCTGAGTAGTTCCACCTAAACCCTGAATGTTCTACCGTTTAGGGTCTAGGGTTTAGGTTTAGGGGCCCAAACCCCTTCTCCAAACCCGTAGAGAATCCTAAGCCCTCAATCCATATGCAACCCTTACAAACCCCATAATATAGGGGCCGAAATAATTGCGTATACTATTTTGGAGGTTCCTTATGGGAGTTATACTATAAAGGAGCCCCAAATCCTATTCTAGTTATTCAGGCCCCTACATTAATCCTTGTCGTGGGTCTGCGCTTGAGATCTGAAGCTTCTTATAAGGGTTTACAGAGTTTGTTTGGCGGGTTCATATCAGCTTTTTGGGATTAGGGTTTAGGGTTCAGGGACAATGACTTGGTACATGTCATGAACAAGGCTTCATATATGGGTTCATAAGAGGGTTTCACGAATTTCAGGAGGGTTTGGTAGAGTTTTGAGAAAGGTTATGTGAGACTTCTGATGGGAGTTGGCCTCCTGGCTTTGTGCGATGCTGATGAAGGGTTCTGCGCTTAGGCTAAAATTGTTACTGTTGGAGGTTTGGTTAGGTCGCGCAGTAGTACCCTCGTGCACTGTCTATCTTGGGGTGTTCCTTGGTGGTCGGAACTTTGTTCGGGGGTTAGGGGCGAACCCAAATCTAGTCTAGGACTCTCTGCTTTAACACCAGACAGAGAGAATGGATATTGGGGCTCCAATGTCAGTGATAAGCGGCCTGACATGAGGTTTGTTGAAGCTCAATTCTAGGCTACCACCAATGTAATCAAGGGTCCTAGTCAGTCTTGGTCTGCAGAAGGGTCCCTGGCTTCCTGAAATCCGAGACTCCTATGTGTCTGGGTTTAGGGTTTAGGGTTTAGGGTTTAGGGTTTAGGGTTTAGGGTTTAGGGTTTAGGGTTTAGGTTGTCTACAGTAGTCCGTTATCCAGGCAGTTGGGCGTCCATGTGCTTTGGGTTTGCCTGGCCGTCTTGAATCCTAGCTTAGTCGTGCACCCGACGCCCTCAAACCTGAATATGTGCCCTACACCTGACCCCTACAACCCTAGACCGTTAAACCCTAATTCATGTAGACCCTCGATGGATACATCCCTTTCCGGACGCGGGATTGTAGCACAGGCAGACGAGGGCCTTTTGGGGTGTATATAGGGGGTTTCGGGTTTAGGCGCAAGTTTTGCGTTTCTTCTGAAGTCCCGCATCAAAGCTGAACGCCACACTCAAACAAACCCTTACCGGGGTCTGAAATGAACCTTTACAGAAGCCCTTAAAGGCCTTAGAGGACCTGAATACCTGGAACCATACACCCTAAACCCTAAACGACTTGAACGACTAAACACAGTGACAGGTATCTTGGCCAGACTGGTGGCTCCTTGCCGGCATCATCTACTCTAGGGTTTAGGGTTTCCAGTGTAGGATGTCGGAATACTTACCAGCAATGTCCTTTAGGTTTGCTCAATAGAAATTTACATTCCCCTCCAATGCCTCAGAACCTTATTCTAATTGCAAGGCCCCTATATTTCTGAGCCCGCCAAGGTTTTCAGGTTTAGGTTCGTATATGTTCGTATGGAGTTAATTAGGGTTTGGGATGTATAGGGCTTATAGATCTGAGGACTTACGACTTTCGGGGTTTAGGGTTTATATAGATCTAAGGATTTAGGACTCACAGCGTCTAGGGTTTGGATCTAAGGCCTCAGGACAGGTAGGGTTTAGGGTAAGGATTGGACTCATAGGGTTTGGGATGTACGGGTTAAGGTTTGGCGTGGATTCTGGTAGGTGTATCCCAATGCAAAAGAAGGATGCTTGAATCCTTCATCCATGCCAGTCCAGGTACATGACCTGGGAGTCTGATATCTATAAGGTGGTTAGTTCCACCGACTACTGCCCTAAACCCTAAACCCTAAACCCTAAACTACGTTGAGGTGTTCGCTTGAAGCGCGACAAGATCCCCGCAATAGCGGTCTCCAGTTCTGCTCCTTTTCGGGATAACCAGCTTTCGGGTTAACAAATCAAGTAACACGAAAACGAGCTACATTAGGGTTTAGGGTTTAGGGTTTAGGGTTTAGGGTTCAAACTGCAATGTACCCCGAAACCCTATTTTGATTGTTAAGGCCTCATCACGAGACGAATTCGAGGCGATGCTCGGCGACGACGGTGGGAGGAAATATGTTCGTCTCGAAGAGACCGCGGATCTAATTGAGGGGGCCAGAGCAGGGCTTCGCTGCAAGCTAGGGCTTTACAATACGGTTTAGGGTTTAGGGTTTAGGGTTTAGAATAGGGTTTTAGGGCTTCCTACTATGATTGATTATTGTAAAGGATTACCCGCAAACCCTATTCTAATCCCCTCTATTAGGCATTGGAGCCTTCTTTGAGATGCTACTTGGACGACAGCTCCAAAGCCTTGCCGTCCCTCAACTTCTGCGCGACAGATGATTGGAGCAGAAGGATCAAGGCGCTTCCGCCCATCGGTGGTGCCATAAATGAGAACTCTTGTCCGGTCAATGTCTGGAACTGTACATGCTGCGAATTGAGTCGCGGTTGTGTGGTGTACAGTGTACACAGAAACCCTAAACCCAAAACCCCTCCAAACCCTAAACCCTATATACCCAGGAAGTCTTTTTGCGGGTTTAGGGTTCAGGGTTTTGTAGGTTCCAGCGTAGGCTCGGTTCTTTTGGCCGAAGGCGCGAGATGCAAAGCTGACAACCTGAACCTCATGTCTGTCAACTTGTTGTTTACACCAGCGGGCCGATTAATGTGTGGCTGGACGAGCCCGCGAAATAGTTACATGACAAGTGACTACTACTACTACTACTACTACTACTACTACTACTACTACTATTACCACTACTCCTACTACTCCTACTCCTACTACAACAACAACAACTACTACTACTACTACTACTACTACTACTCCTACTCCTACTCCTACCCCTACCCCTACCCCTACCCCTACCCCTACCCCTACCCCTACTCCTACTCCTACTCCTACTCCTACTCCTACTCCTACTCCTACTCCTACTCCTACTCCTACTCCTACTCCTACTCCTACTCCT